CCCCCCGCCCGCTGCCAGGCCAATTTACGTCTGACGACTGAGGAGCCTACCCTGATCGCCTGCGAATCTTCTCTCTATCGTTCCAATTTTAGTAGAGATGTCATGAAGGACACTGAGTCTCAGTTGTCTTTCAACTGATGTTATTTTGATTGTTTCCCAAATGCCTGTTCAGTCCCATGCAGGGGGAGGCCCACCAATCCATCACGTCAGCCAGTTGGGATAGCCCCAAAAATGATCATGATTCTGTTGCAGAGTGACCGCAGTTTGAAATAGTACCATCCGACAAGATTCATCTCTGCTGCACCATTCTTTGGGATTGTTGAGGTACTATGTATTCTTATACTTCCCACCAGAAAACATATTAAGCTGAGCCAATGGCCTTGCAGGATCATGAATTGAGCTCAAATACACTGCACCGGACTTATAGTCTGGTAGAAAATGGCCCAGAGAGGTGGACTGAGTAAAGACCACTCCATCTTTCGATCACATGCATTGGCCAGAAACCGTTCCACCTTTGTACCCATACTGATAACGCTGATCTCAGACACCCAATAGGTTTGCTTGTGGGTGTACTTGACCTGTTTTCCCATTTGTTTTGGCAGCACGCAGCCCTGCAGTCTTTATTGGGGGTTCTGTGGCATGGCGGATTTGACAGCAACAAGTCCCACAACAAATCAAGTGCAACGTGGGTCTCCATCTTGTGTGTGTGTTTGCATGTGTGTGTGTGTGTGTGTGTGTGTGTGTGTGTGTGTGTGTGATCTGTTTCTTTGTTGATGTGTGCGTGTTATTTTGGGTGATACTGAACTTTCAGTGGCCCGGCTTCACACCAAGGCATTAATTTCCCTTGGAATAATACCGAACTCTCAGTGGCCCAGATGCACACCAAGGGACAAGTTTCCTGTCGGATCAAGATTCGACTTGAATTATTTGCAAAGATGCATCCCAGAACCTCGAGTGCAGCGCACATTGACTCATTGCAATGAGCATAAGACCCAGGGGTCCGACCCCAACGTTGATACCTAAACGGAAACCGCACACCATGGAATGGGGACAAAATAAGGTAGCAGAGGAACAAGCAAGGAGACGGGGGAGGTTAATGACATACTTTCTGTGTCGGACTCTCACAGACTGATCAGGAGGTTGAACCCTCAAAGGTCTGCAGAATTTCCATATCGCTGATCTGAGTCATAAACCACTTCACCCCTGATCATTGCGAGTGTACAGCCAGTCTGGTGAAAACTCAAGCAGAGCAGGCAGCAGTACAGCAGAGGGAGGGTTGTCGAGCGGTCAGGCTAGCAAACAGGCGACCTGGTGAGCATCAAGGACACGTGATGCAAACAGGAATGCAGCCAGGCCAGGGGGCCAACAGTGAGCCGAGAGAGAGAGAGAGAGAGAGAGAGAGAGAGAGAGAGAGAGAGAGAGAGAGAGAGAGGTCAAGGAAATAATGGAACGAAAGGAAAGAAAGAAGAAAGAAAGAAAGAATGGAAAGTATGGCTGCCCCATCCCACGGCGGATCTCGGCCTCGATCTATTGATCAGTCCGTAGTTAATCAGGTAGGACTTCGTCAAATCTCTGAAATGTTGTATGCAGGGTTTCTCGTCATTTTGCTGGACCGCCTTCACTTAGGGCCCGTACGAGGCTTGCTGGGGGCCTTAGCCCAATACATATGCATGTTGGCTAGGCCCCGTGACGGCTCAATCCTGACAGTTGTGAATGTCTTTGCTGAAGTTTTTTTTTTTTTTTTTTTTTTGGAAAGTTATCGTTTTATTGCAAATTCAATGGGACGAGGCCGGGGACCTCACAATTCTACCCGGGTTTTATTTGAAGCTTATCACAGGGAAACAGCAGAATGTCATGTGATGCCAACTTCCTCTATGCCTCTCAGTGCTGAACACAGAGTGCGTGGATCTGTGTTGCGGATCAAGCAAAGTTCTAGGTGGAAGTAAGTGAAGTAGTTTCTTATTGAAGTTTTTCCGTGAAAGTTATGTAAAACTATGAGTCAGCATGCTGCATTGTGTGTAACGTGACACAAAGTCAAGTTGGAGAGGAGATACATCCTGCTGAGTAGGAATGAAGTAGGGAGGAAGCAAATGGCCTGAAAACAGATAAAAGGTGGAGTGGGTTGTTGTTGATAGGGCGGAGTGCTTCGTGGTGTGCATTTCCACGATTGATTGATTGACTGATTAAGTGATGTAATTGCCCTTCTATTCCTGATATACGAGTTCATATCTGCATTATGGTTGAGTCTCATGATGGTTGGATTTATGTTGGTTGCAGCACGAGGCTTGTATCCCGTCAAGCACGCGTCCCTTGTTCGTTATCACCAGCGACTTGTGTCGGACTCACTCCATCAGAGAGTTGCTTGAGGGTGTTGCAAGTTCTGGCCTCGCCAACAACATCAATCCTCTCCATCATCGTTCGACAGAGGTGGGTCTTTCATGTATTTCACACCTTCCCAATACCTCCTCCTCCACCTACTTGTCGTTGTCGTCATCATGCATCCGTGTGCGTGTGTGTGTGTGTGTGTGTGTGTGTGTGGTATGTGTGATGAATGAGCGGGATGACTCTCTTGTGTGCAATATGTGAGCCCGAAAAGACTAAGGGCGTCTATGGATGATGCAAATGCTATGCCAATGCCTTAAGCAAAAAAAATATAGGGGCTAGGGGTTAACATGCGGTGTCGCACCCCGAGGATGCCATAGGAACCACTTAGGATCTCCACGCTTAGTTAAAAGGTGTGTGGCCCAATGGATGACGCTTGGCCTACATACGAAAAAGAAGATGAAGTCTTAATGAACTCCCTGGACTGCCTGCGTATTGGAAGGAGCAATTGCCTGGTCACATTTAAATGAATCGAGAAAACGCCACGAGTGATCAAAGAGCTACCATCTAACGCGAGATCGGAGCTACATCCCCCAATGTAAAGCCCTCTCGCAAATGGTCCATCCCCATCCATCTCAAAGCACTAGGTGGGGGTGCCCTTGGGACGAACGACCCACGCCCTGAGCGTGAGCGTGGGCGGGTCGAGCCAAATGGGACCCGCAGTGGGGTCGACTTAGGCTCGAAAGTCCTTCAGGGTACGACTGCTACAGAAAATGGTGGAGGTGCCGGGTATGGGTTAAACTGACCCATACGGTCTCGAGGGGAGCGCCCGACGCATGATCGTGTACATAACCGAAGATAAGGAATAAATACTTGTGTATGCTCTATCCTCTTGAGTGAATCAGATTTGAGGGCGGCTGGGCGCATGGCAAGATCAGACCTGGAGGAAATAACATGCATGCTTGCACACTTGATCAACCATCTCCTTTGGAGGTGACTCTAGTCCTCCTTCTTTCGGGCTGATGTTCCTCAGACCGGGGAAGCATTGGGCAAGCCGCAGGTCGACCCTTCCTCTTAGTGCGAAAGAAGGGCTCCGGTTACCTGGCAAGCGGTTGGAATTCCGGGCTAGTCCGGGCTCCGATAAATATCTCGCAGCGGAGTGATCCGACCGACACTGGTGCCTTCTCTCCTCTTCTTTGGAGCCCAGCGGGCTCCATGCACCGCACTTGAGATGCTTGAAAGAACCTCATATGAACATAACAGGTAATCGAGAAGGAACAATCCTGCCCTATGAACGGGCACACAAACTAAGATAAGGGGAATGAAAGGAGTTGCTAGACTCCAAAAAAACTAGCTCACCTTTGAAGATGCTTACGAAAAAGAACTTGGCACTATGTATGGAAAATAGGGGTGAGTGACACACACTGTCCTGAGAGAAAAATTGCGAGCTATGGGTAGGAAGCGCTGGGTGCACCGAGGGAAAGATACTTGTATTATGTGTGTCCCACTTGGGACTTGTTTTTGCATGATGGGGATTTGAGCGTCCTGCCTTTCGGAAGGAAAGGAGGGGTCTGCACCGGCCGGTGCGGGTTGCAAAACGTCGCTCTCTTTTGTAGACTGTCATTTGTCCGTATGTGGGGGTCAGGCCACCGAGCTGTCTGACGTGAGTTTGTCGCGCCGGGTGATTATTAGCATTCTCGTTCGCGCGGTGACGGGTCACGGCCCAATGATGTGCCGGGCGGGGTGTGAAATGTCTTTCCAGGCGGGGCCTAGCCTGTGGACTGGCGGAGGGAGTACCACTGCATGCGGGCAAAGACGGAGTCTCGAAGACGATTAGTAGGTTATCGTAGCTTGGTTTGGGAAAGGCTGTTCCTTGTCAGACCGATGGAAGTGAATGCCCGGACGACTGACTTTTGTCCCTGTATTTAGGCACACGGGGTGACTCGTGGTGTCGGTATGGATGAGGAAAAGCGGCAATACGGGATGGGGTATTCTGGGCAAGAAGGTGAGGGCGACCCCCCATTGGAGTTTGGGTACCATGCTCGCAACGGTTGAGTTGTGTTTGAGGTACGGGATAAAACTCTGCCGATAGTAACAACGGAGATACTACTTTTGGGAAAAGGCCGGTGAGGAGATGAACGGCCTGTGTGCGATGATTGCTTGAGTTTTCTTTTTGTGCCTCCCTCGATAAAGTCTGCCTGATGGATGTTGGGATAGGAACTGAGTTTCTAAGTCTATTCTCACCTCCTGTCTAAGTCCGCACGAGTGAGAAAACATGAGGATAAGGTTGGATAGGAGTCGGAAGGAAATGGAACCAAGAGAAAGGAATGTCGGTTGATGGTGATCGATTGAAGGTATGACGGGGCAACGACATCTGGGAAATGGGTAGGAAAGGTTAGGGAGACCCGGATGAGGGGCCTGAAAATAATTCTCATCTAGAGAGAGAGACAGTCTGACCGAGGGGGGGGGGGGGCATGTGGTGCTCTCTTATGGAAAAAAGGGTGGGAGCTGGCAAACGAGACATTCTGACTGAGTTGTCAACCCGGGTCTATTCTATCGGTCCAGAAATGCCAATAGACGTAAGGAAAGGGGTATCTGTCGTCCACTCGGAAGAAGGAACGTGGACGGACCTGGAGCCAGCCTATCAAAATGTGATGCTGGACGAAAAGGACGCGTTCCTCTGGATAGAGACAATCTGGACCAAGGTCAGCCTGACAAGGCTTTCACCAAGCCTGATAGACTTAGAAATCCGAGGCCTGGATCTGATGTGTCCAGGGCGGAAGAAGGGGCGGAAGAAGGGGGCAGGATCCTGATAGACCAAGGTCAGGCTGACAAGACTTTCACCAAGCCTGATAGATAAGACGAAAAGGATGCGTTCCCCTTCTTGGTGTGTGGCATGTGTGATGATAATTGTGTGCGAGTGTGCATGTGATGTGTCAGGTCCTATCATCAAGTCAAGAGGTGCACTAAATACCATAACATCGTTGTCAGTGTCTTACATCTGAGGCGACCCAAGTGGGTATTGCCTATTCCTCGCAGCCTTGCACCCGGTTGACTATCGGCAATGTCATACACAATCCTTACACGGTGGTCGGCAGATGCGTCATTGTCTTTTGTACAACCTTGTAATTGTACGTCAAAAGACAGCGCACCTGCAGACACTGGTAAGTTTCTAAGGGAAGCGGGTCTGTTCGCCCTCGAGCACCAAGTCTGGCGGAGACCTTTCTTCTGTGTATGAGTCTCCTTCTTCCTCTGTGTTATGTGTGATGATAATTGCGTGGGAGTCTGGATCTGATGTGTCAAATCGTATCTTCGAGTCTGTGTGGCATTTGTGATGATAATCGTCGGTCAGTCAAGATCTGATGTGTCAGGTCCTATCTTTGAGTCTGGAAGTTCACTAATGTGTGATGATAATCGTGGGTCAGTCTGGATCTGATGTGTGTCAATCCTTACACGGTGTGCGAGTGTGGATGTGATGTGTCAGGTCCTATCATCGAGTCTGGAGGTGCGGTAAATACCATAACATCGTTGTTAGTGTCTTCCATCTGAGGCCACCCAAGTGGCTATTGCCTATTCCTCGCAGCCTTGCAGCCGGTTGACTATCGACAATGTCATACACAATCCTTACACGGTGGTCGGCAGGTGCGTCATTGTCTTTTGTACAACCTTGTAATTGTACGTCAGAAAACAACGCACCTGCCGACCCGGGTAAACTTCTAAGGGAAGTGGGCCCATTTACCCTCAAGTACCAGGTCTGGCGGAGACCTTTATTCTGTGTATGAGTCCCCTTCTTCCTGTGTGTCATGTGTGATGAAAATTGTATGGGAGTCTGGATCTGATGTGTCAGGTCCTATCTTCGAGTCTGGAGGTGCACTAAATACCATAACATCATTGTCAGTGTCTTTCATCTGAGGCCACCCAGGTGGCTATTGCCTATTCCTCGCAACCTTGCAGCCGGTTGGCTATCGGCAATGTCATACACAATCCTTACACGGTGGTCGGCAGGTGCGTCATTGTCTTTTGTACAACCTTGTAATTGTACGTCGAAAGGCAGCGCACCTGCCGACCTGGGTCAGTTTCTAACGAAAGCGGGCCTATTTGCCCTCAAGCACCAGGTCTGGCGGAGACCTTTCTTCTGTTTATGAGTCCCCTTCTTGTTGTGTGTCATGTGTGATGATAATTGTGTGGGAGTCTGGATCTGATTTGTCAAATCCTATCTTCGAGTCTGTATGGCATGTGTGATGATAATCGTGGGCCAGTCTGGATCTAATGTGTCAGGTCCTATCTTTAATCGTGGGCTAGTCTGGATCTGATGTGTCAGGACCTATCTTTGAGTTTGGATGGCATGTGTGATGATAATCGTGGGCCAGTCTGGATCTAATGTGTCAGGTCCTATCTTTAATCGTGGGCTAGTCTGGATCTGATGTGTCAGGACCTATCTTTGAGTTTGGAGGTTCACTCATGTGTGATGATAATCGTGGGCCAGTCTGGATCTGATGTGTCACAATCCTTACACGGTGTGCGAGTGTGGATGTGATGTGTCAGGTCCTATCATCGAGTCTGGAGGTGCACTAAATACAATAACATCGTTGTCAGTGTCTTCCATATGAGGCCACCTAGGTGGCTATTGCCTATTCCTCGCATCCTTGCAGCCGGTTGACTATCGACAATGTCATACACAATCCTTACACGGTGGTCGGCAAGTGGGTTATTGTCTTTTGTACAACCTTGTAATTGTGCGTTAAAAAACAGCGCACCTGCCGACCTGGGTAAGCTTCTAAGGGAAGTGGGTCCATTTACCCTCAAGTACCAGGTCTGGCGGAGACCTTTGTTCTGTGTATGAGTCCCCTTATTGCTGTATGTCATGTGTGATAAAAATTGTGTGCGAGTTTGGATCTGATGTGTAAGGTCTTATCTTCGAGTCTAGAGATGCACTAAATACCATAACATCGTTGTAAGTGTCTTCCATCTGAGGCCACCTAGGTAGCTATTGCCTATTCCTCGCAGCCTTGCAGCCGGTTGGCTATCGGCGATGTCATACACAATCCTTACACGATGGTCGGCAGGTGCGTCATAAGTTTCTAAGGGAAGCGGGCCTATTTGCC